CACTCTTTCTATCAAAATACAGTCTCACTATACAAATACTTAATATTATTTTTGTCTTGACAAGTCTTTCAACAATAGACAGTGTAAATTTCACAGCTACTGTATTCAAAATTACTAGCAGCTTTGGAAGTCAGTCAGTAGAATTTGTCTACATGGGAACAGTTGGATCATTGCAAACTTCCTTACACAGTATGTTAGTATGGAAATAATTGCTTAAACCTCTGAAGAATCTGAGAAAGAAAAAGCCATCAACAACAACTGATCAAGTGGTGGTTCACCTTGTATCACTGAAGAAAGACACTGACTGTGGAACCAGACAGCAGAAAAAGGAATGAAAAGCAAAAGGGACAGAGAGAAGAGGGTGGCTGAAAGAGACAGAAGGACAGAAGTGAGTACAAAAGTCATGGTAATGCTTTTCTCCTGGTGTGGAACACTACCACACCTGCATACTTTACTCCAAGAAAAAGCAGTTACCAGCATTTCCATGAGCACTGCTTCGGCTTAATAGACTCAATAACATGAGCGAAACAAGTCGGTTCTTGTGAAGCACAAGTGAGGAAAGGCAATACTGTCAAAAAGGATATTAATGCCAACTGTAGCTGTCATTGCCGAGTTGTGTGCTAAGGTAGGTACTCAATGCACTGTAAATAAAAAGCCTGTTCCAATGACTTAAAGAGCAAGCAGCATGCTAACGGAGTTTACATTGGCCATTAAATGTAACGATATACAGTATTCTGAACACTCAACAGTCTCACTTTGGTCTGGACACATATAGATTCTACATGTGAAACATTTAACTAAAAAACATACCTATTAGCAGATAACTCTCTGACTGGTGAGCCTTTAAAGGAAATCTTTTCTCCAGAACATGATCCAAACTAGCTGGCTGGCTACCACTTTTCTCTTTGTTTCTAGGGTAAACAAGATGCAAACAAAAACATATAAATACATCTAACATTCTTACCATACATACCCAGTTACCACAATATACCATAACCTGTGCAAGAATCATTAGCTTTCCACTTGGGCAGCTTATAGGAATTAAAGATTCTTCATGCTGTTGCAGAAGCAGTGAAATGGACTATAATGTGACCCTGCAGCATTTGTGAGAGCGTTTCTTTGAAAGTTGAGACCTTTTAACAGAACATTTGATTTGGACATTGAAACTAGGATCCATTATCCCATACTTGGTATTTTTATTACCCAAGTCACATTTGGAAAAAGACTTTTCTTCAGGCAGCAGTAAAATTTTATTTTAATCCTTTGACTTATACTAATTCATGCTTGCCAAGGCACTAAAGAACAAGTTGCACCATCGCTGTGCTTCTGAAGTCCACATTTGCTCTCATTCTGTGGATTTGCTTGTTTTTTAAGGCCTAAAATACCTTTTGCAAACCTTCACATCTAGTCTCAGAGTGAAAAATGACATCACCTACAGTGGGATTTACCTCATCTACCTCCATATGGACAGCAAAATAAAAGTACCTCAAAAGATTTCCTTTGGGTATGCTCTTCTCTGAGGATTGCATGCTGGATATACCAAGACTCAGCCTTTTTGCAGTTTCTGGTTTTCCTTCAGGGATAGTTGTCTCTTTTTGTCGGACTGGAGTTACACCGTACTTTTCCTCTAGACATCTGAGAGGCACAGTCCTGTTGACAGGCTGGAAAATAATTGCTCCACTCTGCTTTGATATTGGTGTGCGATTCCCAACATAGTATCTAACTAAGCCAGGGATACTGTCAAAACTTTCAAGTTCAAACTGATACTGAACACGGCAGTAGGCTTCATTGAGTCTTAGAACTGTTCTGTTGATTTTAAAATGCTGAGAGATATTTTTCCACTGGCAGGTAAGTACAAAGTTCCCAGGACTGGAGAGAGAATCCCTAATCAGAAAATCTCCATCTCTCTGAACTAGGCCTTCTGCCACCTTTGAGGAAAAAGAATTATACAAAAAAAAAAATTTTCAGAATCAGAAAACATGTAATGAACAACACATTGCCACAAAATATTCTTAAACATAGGACTTCATTTGGCTGCTCTGGGAGGACAGACAAAGCCAGAAATACAAAGCAACATGTGAAGTGTGGTAGAAGAATGATATCTTCAATTCTAAAATTAAGAGCTCCTCCCACAGCAGAGATCTGGAGGGGCTGCTTGGAAAATGCCCAGCAGCCAGAAGCATGAACCAGTTCTGCATATCTACTTCTTTTAGTTTGCGAACAGAAAATAAGGCATGAAGGGAAAGCAATGACTCAGGATTTTAGAGTTTAAAGTATCTGAATAGATGGTCACAAGGAAATTTAGAAGCCATTACTAAAGAAACTGTTCTTTCATTATTACCTTAAGCGACAGAAGCTTTCATATTTTATTCTTTGTGAAGATTGTACAGTACTAGGAAGAGCCAGAGAAGTCCTGGTTTTGTTTTGAAAACAGAAAACCTCTGGTGAAGGCCCGTTACGCACTGCAAGGAGGCCCGCAGGGGGAGCTCCAAGTGCTCAGGGAACCCAAGCGCCAGTCCAACAACAGCTTTTAACATAATTTTAACTAAGTTTGTGAGGACCAAAATAGATTTCGTTGTGGGTTTTTTTTTCTCCCTCCTCCAAACTCCAAGTGCAAGAAAAAAATAAATACTAACATTTTAACGATACTGAACCAAATTAATGACAGTGTGTCTGAACAATATGTGGGGATAGTATTCTCATATAAATCTTAAATTTTATTTCCACCTTTATGGCAGTGCACACAAATCCTGAAATTTTTCCACAAGTGTCTGCCCTGAATCCTTCCTCAGCCTCAATTTAAGCCAAGATCTGATAAATACCATAGCTTTCACACAAATAAGCAGTATGTTTCTACTAAATTAATGCAGATATCAGAAACACATATAGTACTTTATTGCAGTTCTGCTTGTCTATAAAAGCTCAAAGCACATTTGGCAATGCAAAGACCACGTACCTGCCGAGGAATACGTCCATGGTACCAGGCATGGCTACGCAAGTCTTCACTACTGAGCTGCAGTTCTTCCTCTAACTCCTTCTTCAGTTTTTCTGGGCTGTTGTCCATAACTTGCCTCTCCCTACAAAACTGCAATAAAAGATTAAAAGCTTCAACTGTGCCAAGTTTAGTGATTAACATTTTACCTGGGTTATAACTTCCATCACATGATCTGCACTAGCCACTGGAATGCAGGTGCTGCTTTCAGCAGGCTGGCTTGGCTTTGGTCTCTGGATTGTATTTGCAAAATCCAGCCTTCAGTGAGATAACATGTGATTGTTATACACTGCATGGAACAGAGCAAAATGTTCTGTCTGTACACCAAGCTAATAATGACACACCTACAAAGTCACTTCTCTTACTTCCTCTTCCCACTAAGAATTCTAAACTACACCCAAAAAACCTGAGCTGGACTCAAATGCCCTGCTCTAATATTCTTCCTCCTGTTTAAACTTCCATTTTAAATTCAGATTCTTTCCTCCCAACCCTTTTGAACTCATCAAATTAAAAATATTCCAAATGCATCAGGACAGGCTAACCTGGACATACATAGCTTTTCAGTTCTTCTGCTGCACTGAAAAGCAGTTTGCCAAAGTAAATTTTCAGCCTTAAAGCTTACTTCTAATGGTCATTAAATCTGCATGTCCAAGAAAAGGGAAAAACCTCTTGTTGCACCTTAGCATGAAAAGCATGAGATCTGCTTGGAGGAGTCCCTACCACCACTATATAACTACTATAAGATTTTCTGGAAAAATTCTGTCTTCATCTCTTCTTGGAATATAGCTTCCATGCTGGACCATTGTGGCTCGTTAATCCTTCTTGTGGATGCAGTGTTGTTAACAAAGTAAGGTGCAGAACCTTCTCTATAGAGTTGTCATGTACTCTTTCAGAAGCACTCAGTTGAGGGAAGTTCTTTGGACCTCCTTATGTTCTCCAAGGGCTGGGGACTCCAGCCCATATTTACTGTTGCTGAAGAGTTTCAAAAGCCTAAGATACCCAAGAGAAACAGGTTCATTGCAGGGAACATGTCCTACATTAATCAGAGACTCGGAGTACACCTTCTCTTGAAAGAAAGTTTTAAAGCAAGGGAGAGGGAGAGAGCAGGGGGTCTCCAGCTAGAGAACAGACTAAAATGCAATTTTAAAATTTTGCCCCAGTGCATTATGTATTTTTTCTTAGCTCTGGATATGACCCAAAGCTCACAGGTTTCCATCATCGACACACTGATGTAAATATGCAACACATGCATTTTTTAAAAAAAAGAACCGGGAATGCTCGCCTACCGAACTTACTGTTTCCATGAACACTGCTCTCTATAGTATTTTCATCTTCACATTGAATACTCACAGCACCTAACTGTGGAAGCAGGTGGCATACATTTAGCACTCCTTTCAACAATCCTCACTGCAATTTCAAGCAGACTGAATTACAACACATTACTAGACAGCAGATTTTTGGTGGAGTAGTGCCAGAACAGGCAACCCAGTGCCAAGACTATTTAAACATTCTGGGAGACCAGAGAAACTCTGAGATAAATTCTCCTTTCTGCCTCTCTTAGGCAAACACAAATGAGCATAGTAGCTTACACAGGAAGGCAAATGATAAAAACAACCTGGTAAAGAATTACTTTTCACCTCAGTTTTGCTTCTGTGAACCATAATAAGATGGTATTTTTCCATACAAATTTGTTCAAAATGGACAATCATTTTCAACAAAGAGTAAATTCTTGGTGCTTTTGTACAGTCAAGGCCTTTCACCAACTCCTCCCTGTAGAGGAATTTCTTGCGGAACAAGAACACAATATACCCCTTTAAGGTTTGGACAATCCAGCTTGTGCTCTGTCCCTGAAGTTATCTTGAAGACGGAGTAAACTGTTTTTGCAAGAACTTTGCTGGATATGCAAGGATGTACGATAGGATGTTCTAACCGCAGCAAGGGCATCTAACACCCACATGGCTTGATAACATTAACAAAAAATAAAGCTTATTATAGCCTGCACCCGGTGTGTGTGAACACTGCCTAACTGTATATATATTGGACTAATTTGAGCAATAAACTGAGAACGGCATGTAACTGCATCGGTGTGATTGTCGTTACTCGGTCAGCTCTCCGAAAGGGACCCTCTTCACCTCTCAAGCTTTACAAGAAGTGCTCTTTCATAAGACCACGTACAACATGAAGAGATTAAGTTACTAGTTGCGGAAGGAGTCAAAGAAGAGGCTTAATGAGGACTCAAGTGCAAAAGCATATCCAAGTCTCAGAACACAGTCAAGTAAGGCAAACAATTCTTCTGTGACCTATCAGACTAACAGAGTTAAAAGACTAGTGGCACAAGCCTGCCACTTTTATTTCCCAACCCACATGGCTGGGTACCCATTTAAAGCTGACAGGCATCACTTCCAGAATTAACAGCAAGCCATTTCACTGCCACATCTTACAGAAGGACAGCAAGTATTACAGTATTTACATAGGCTGAAGGAACAGGGAGGAGTACACAAAATGTGAGTAGAATTTGCTGAAGAACCTTTTCCCTGACTGCACAAAGAAATGAGAACTTTTGAAGGGCTCCCTCCAGTCTTAACAGCAGCATTCAGTTGTAACGGTACACAAATCTCTGACATCCATAGTCATGAATTTCACTGATCTTCTGAAAGGAGCTACTGTTTTAATGTGAATTGTATTTAAGTTTTCAGAAGATGCTTTTAACTGAATAGAGATCTTAAAAAACCCCAACAGTACAAATTGTAACCATCATTCCAAAAGCATCTCGCTACATTTCAGTTGTAGGCAAAGTAAATGGAAAGGACTACAGCGTATAAACGTAATGACTGAATTTGCTTAGGAGAGCTAGATTCTTAGCCGACAAAAAGAGCTATAGATCTTTGTATATTGACTAATTTCATCCATTGTACCGACACAAATTATCTTAAAAAAACCCAGGTTGATCAAGTTACAGATGCACATGAATTACAAATACACCTGAAGAAATTCTAGGTTTAAATGGATTTTTCATTATTCAAATGAATGTAATGAGGTACATATTGCATTTGAATTGTATCTAGCAACACAACAAGAAAAACATGTAAGGAATCCAAACCAACTAAATTGTTAACATTCATGATTATTGGGTTGTTAAAAATCCTCTCCACCATGGTCTACCACACTGAGTATACTCTGATTGCCAGAGGTCAGACATCTCCAGAGATGTAGCAAACATGCTGAAATAACCCTTGTGCAACCCTGAACTTAGTGGAAGAACTCCTGTGGCTAGCACAAGTCCCAAAATACACAAGGGGGAACTGCCTAGGTAAGCAAGTTTAGCAATAGCATGCTTTCCTGGACAGTTTTTCATTGGCTGAGACACATTTCCTATACAGTCTATGGGTATTAAAGAAGTGTGACTGACAAAGTGTCTGGCCTGTGGCCTTCTACACTAAACGCTCAATTCAAAGCCTCTGCTCCTGAAGAATCTCTGCACACACAGGCACAGTCTGCACAAGCATGTTGATCTGTAAGTAAGGAAGTGTAAACTTAGAATAGTTGTGTCAATTATCATAATTAGCTATGTCAATAGGCTTTCTCTAAAAGAAAAGGGGTGATAGCTCAGGCTCATTTCCCAGTAGCACCCAAAAGTTAACAGGCAGTAATGGTATACTGTAAATTTGCACTAATTTCTTAGTGACAAACCTTCACTTAGTAGTATGTCCTCATTTTATTTCTTTGGCTAAGACACTTGGCTGCTTCCCACCCGATGACAGAAAAAAACCGTAGGATTAAGTTTACAGATAGATACTGAAGTGGATCGTAAAAAAGAAATTTAAAAAAAATCTAGGGCAAAAATGAAAGACTTCAGTATAAACTGCAACAAAACATAGTTGAAGAGGCAGAGAAAAGCTTCCAGTTTTAATTTTTTAAGATTTCCTAATAGGAACAACTCTGTCAGAGATCTTTGAAATATAAAAGCAAATCAAGTGAAGAGAACTCTTTTCAAATACAGATGCTTTTCCTGACCTACAAAAAACTCCCCCTAAGTATGTGTTTTCCAGAATTGTTTGTTCACATTTTAGTTGTATTGTTTCCAGTCCTGGTGCTATTTTAAGATATTCCTGCCATGCTGAGTTTTTGTGAACAGGTCTTTAAAAGAAAAATACAAAATACAAAACTACCTATCAATAAAATACTATCAACCTCCAGCAAAAACACTCAATGCTACTTACATATCCAGTGGAAAACTAGGAGTTTAAAAGGGGGAAAAATTTCCAGTCAGTACAGTTATTTCAGTGTTTTTAATAAATTACACACAAGTTTATTATTTTTCACAAAGGACTTCTACTTCAGGGCCATTAAACTAAAAGCAGACTGTGCTTACAGATGTAACAAGCTACCCTTGATGTTACATATTATTTTACATTTTTTCAGGCAAATATTAAAACTAGTGCACTAAAAACTATCAACATCTAATGAAATACAGCATCAAAAAATGATCTTATTTAGGGTAAATTTAAGAAGGATTTGACCTACCACAATATGCTGTACCTGTGAAACTTGTGATGTATTTTAACAGGATTTTCTCACAATAATCTGTTGTCTGTGTATCCAAGCAATTGCTTTCTTTTGTCTATTTAGCACTTTCCAGAGGAAACACACTATACTGAGCTCTTGTGTCAACTATCCTAGCTGAATTTATCACATTAGATTAGAATATTTTTTAAATTTTGCTGAATAATCTACTGTATGACTTTGGTGGTAAAAAGAAAGTCCCACATTTCTGTTGCCTGCTGTCAGTGGATTCTTTCCCCAGTTCATATCTGCAACAACTCCAACGAGGTACATGTACCAATGGAATATCAGAATAGCTGAGAGGAGAATCACACAGATTTCTACATATATACCCAAATCTGCATCTTATGTGTTCTAGTTTTCATGGCTTACCTCAAATGTTATTAATTTATCTCTTATAAATTAAGGTGATCAAGTGGGTCTTTTTGGCTTGCTTTGGCTTTTTTTTTTTTTAATCTTGAATTATGAGGGAAAGACTTCTACTTTCAAGACACAGTTTGGAAGTGGTTCAAAATCTGTCATGCTAGATC